GCGGGTTTCCGCCTTTGTTCCAGGAGAAGGCGAAGCCGCGGGCAACGAGCTCGCCAAGCGGAAACAGGTCTTGCACACTCTTCTGGTGCGCGCGGTCGCCCGCCTCGTCCTTGGCCACTGGCTTGACCACCACCTCAGGGATGCCATCTGGTCCGACACCGCTCTGGCAGGGCACAGACCCCACAGCCAGGTTCAATGTGGTGTTCGGCTGGAACGGCTCCCCTGCCCTGAGCTCCCGCAGCCGGTGAGAGGCGCCACTGTCCAGCAACGTGTCCTCCTTTCCGGCGGATGGCGCCGCGCTGCGCCCAGCCAAGGCGGCGGGCTCGGCGGCCGTTGCCGCAGCGGCCGCGCTCTGGACAGCCTCGTCTCCAGCAGCTCGGGCTCGCTTGGCTTCCCTGGTTTGCGGTAGCCCCGGCGCGTGGCCTTGTTGGGGCGTTTCGTGCGCGGCCGTTGCTGGCCAGCAGGTGTCGGAGCGACCTCCTCCTCCTCCTCGGCAGCAGGCGCCGTGGCGGCGCCAGAGGCTCCTGCAGAACCTGAAGGCGCCGGGCACCCAGCAAGCGGCTGCAGCCCCGCGACCATGGCGTTGGCGTTGGCCGCGGGCTTGGCCGCCTCGATGAGAGCGCCAATGGCGGCCGTGACCTGGTCCATGCTGACGCTGGCAGCTGGCGGCGACGCCGCGGCCGCAGTCTTCGGCGGCGCCTTGGGGCAGGGGCAATCCTTGATGACGTGCCCGAGGCCGCCGCGGTTGAAGCACCTGCCCTCGCTCGCTTGGGGCTTGGTGTGCCTTTTCGTGCACGTGGCGCCATTCCTGCACCCGGAGGGTCGGGAGAAGAACGGGCATTCGACGGTCGACTTGTTCTTGGCGTCGTCCTTGCCTTTGCCTTTGCCCTTGTCCTTGCCCTTGCCGGCGCCTTTCCCTTTGTCCTTGCCCTTGGGGTCCACGTTGCCTGCGGACGCCTGTGGGTCGTGGAGCGCCTTCCCGGCGCGCTGGTTGGACGCGATCTCCATGATCTCCCCGTACAGGAAGTCGTACACGGCAGTCAGGGAATGCTCCGTGGGGCTGTAGGACAAGCTGAGGTTGGCCTGCAGCATCTCGAAACGCAGTGTCAGGCCAGGGTGTGTTGAGATGACCTTCTCTGTCATGCTCTTCAGCGAGCTGTACTGGACCTGCAGGTCGGGCAGGGCGAGGCCGAGGGCGGCAGCCCGGGCGCAGTTCTGCTTCCAAGTCCGCATCTTGAGGATACACTCGTGGGCCGTGCCGGCCCCACCTGGAAGCTGGATCTGCTTCAGCACGCTGGTCTTGTCCTCAATGCCCCCGGGCGCAAAATCCTTGAGGATCTCGAAGAGCACCATGGGGATCTCGCACGTGATGCCCTGCAACCCGCACGCGAGGACAGTGTCGCGGATGTGCCCTGGAGCGGCTGCCAGCACCAAAGGGCGCAGTTTCGACTCCACTGGGCGCCACCGAGGAGGCGTGGGCGACGTGACCTTCACCTGGGCCCTCTGCAAGGGGCTGGATCGGAGAAACTCTGCATGGGCGCGGGAGGCCGCGCCTTCGGCCCACGCCCAGAACATCTCCGACTCGAGGCTCACGGCCTGCACCACGAGCGTCACCCCGTACAGCCACTCTCTCACTCGCTTCGGCTTTTCCGTCTTGCCGTCGAGCGGTGGCAGGGGCGCCATGGAGCGGAGGCCGTCGGAAAGGGCCTTCAACGCCGCCGCGTCCATGGGGTCGTTCAGGTTGGTCGCGTTCCAGCTGGCCGCCGGCGGTGCGGTGACGCCACCTGCCGCGGGCTGCTGGTCAATGCCCTCACTGGCATTTGCGCCGCGCGCTCTGGCGTCGACGGCGGCTTGGGCGATCTGCTGGCCAGTCAGACCCGCCCAGTCGCTCGCAAGCGCAGTCCCGCTGCCCGTAGGCGCTGGCGGGCTCTGGGCGCTGGGCCACGGGATGAAACCCATCGGTGGCCTTTGCGCTTGCCGGAGGATGTGCGTCCCAGCTACATTCCCCTGGCTGCTCGGTGCCGCGCCGTGCGCCGGGGCCGAGGTAGGAGTCGCGACCTCCTCTCGCCCTAGCAGGCCTGCGGCGGGCTGGCGGACCACGTCCGCAACCGGCTGGGGGGCGGCGGCGCCGCTGCTACTTCCAGCTGCAACCATGGATCCTTCCACGGTTTCGTTCTGCAAGGGGTTCGGCCCCCTGTACCACTCTGACTCTGCATCCGCGAAAAAGTCGTCGTCGCTCGTGTAGTTGATGACTTGCGTCTGGGCCCTGGCGGCCCTGTGGCGGCCCTCCTGGATCTGCGCCTCGGCCTCGTGGAGCCGCGCGTTCAAGTCGTTGAAGCGCTCCTCCAGAACGCTCACCTTAGCGATCAGAATGGCCATGTGGTTCGCCAGAGAGTCCAAGGCAGTCACGACCCGGTCGTCGATGCCTGCGCCGTGCTGCGGGTTGGCCACAGCAGCCGCCGGAGGTGCAGAACCTCCACCGTCCGTTGGCTGCTGGCCTGGCGCCGCGGCCGCGGGCGCGAATACACCTTCAGGAAGGAGTTCGCCAAAGGGATTGCTCCGATCTCCCAGAAGATCTTCGAGAGGAGGTCTGGTCGTGTTATCTTCTGGGAAAGAATCGAAGGAAGTGTCCAGCGGCGCCGGCTCAAGGGCGGGGCGCGCCGACTGCACGGTGGCAGCAGCTCCGCGCACGAGCCCGGTGCCGAAACGCAGCGTGCTCATGACGATCGTTGCCACAACCGATCCGGCGGCTTCGCCGCCGCGCTGCGCCAGCACAGCGGCCGTATCCGCCAAGGCGCCGGTCATGCGCCGCTGCATCGCCAAGCCAAGCCAGCTCTGGTTGTCCATGTACTGCTCGTACTGGAGCTGCCAATGCTGGTAGCATGGGTTGCACAAGGCGTACGCATTGCCATGTTCGTCGCGCACGGTCACGGCGCAATCCTCATGCACGCTGCAGCGGCACTCGACGCACATCAGTGCCGGATACGCATGGAGCCCGCAGGTCGGGCATGCGCCACCAGGCAGAGCGACTTGCAGATCTCCCAGAGCGTTGGGCTCATAACCTGCGAGCGCCTCCCCGGGCCGGGCCAGTCGGCCGGCCGGGCGCTCCGTGGCAGCGGAGCGCGGGAGACCTGGACGATGTATTTTGTGCCTTTTGCCAGCACGGGATGCTAGAACCGAGTATTGAGCCTATAAGGCTACGGATCCAAACGATCCGAGTTGAGCTTGTTGATGCTACTATGCTTGGTGAGACGGGCCCCGACGAGGTCGAGAACTCTGGTCGCAATCCGGCACAACGGATAGGGTCAAGAGCTCCGGGTTCACTTACAAGTCATTGATTGCTGCTTGTACAAGATCCCTTGAGGATCGATGCAGAAATATGAGTGCACATTACACATTGGAGCAGGCATAATATGCAACAGGTGAGGTTGTAATGAAAGAGAAGAGGAAAGAGGAGAAACGTACTCATTCACTTCTGCCTGATCTTTCAGGCCTCTCTCCGTTCTCGTTCAGCGCACCAGCATTTGTCGTCGCACCCGCTGTTGCTCTTTGCTCTCAGACCGGCGGCAGAATCTGTTCTCGCACCAGCAGCGTCGCCTTCTGATCTCGCATCAGCAGCATGCTTGATTCCAGCATCTGGTCTTCAGCGGACTGGCAGACACATTCAAGGGGGGGGGGGGTTCGAACCGGTAGTGACCCCCCTGGTTTTCGAGAGGGGGGGGTTCGAACCGGTAGTGACCCCCCCCGGTTTTCGAGGGGTGGGGTGGGGGGGGTTGGGATTAGGGGAGGGGGGGTGGTTTGCCGGGGGGAGGGGTGGGGGTGGGGTCCAGCAGGGGGGGGGGGGATTTTCGGAGGGGGGAGGGACCCCGGGTTCTGGAGGAAGAGGGGGGGAATTTTCCACAGTAAAGCGGCGGTTGATCAAGCTCTCTCGCACTATTCGGTCGGCTCGAATCCACTGTTCTCCAGTTGGGTCTGAGCAGTTTTTGTGCGTTCTTGTTTTGGTCTGCCCTCGAGTCGGTCTTGGTTGGTTCGAACAATCTATGACCCCATCCGGTCTCGTTCGCTGGGGTGTGCGCAGTCGGCAGTCGAACAAAGTGCGGTCTCCTAAGTGGCGCCTCGTCCTCCTCGTCCTTGTACCCAGTTGGCTCCGCTTCCTCACCCTCGTGGTCTGTATCTCCTCCTCCTACTCCTCTGCCTCCTCCTCCTCTGCTCTTCCTGCTCCCTCCTCCGTCGTTCCCTTTTCCGCTTCCCTCCCTGCCCCTCCTCACCATGTTCTTTTTGGTTCGCCTCTACGTCCGCATCCGAAGGACGACAGCACAGCCGGCACGTGGGCTGCCTTCTGTGCTGCGGTCTGGCCTGGTCCTGTGTGGTCTGGTCCGTCCTGGTCCAGACCGGCCGACTTGCGGTTTGGTGTGGTCAGCTTTTGTCTGTTTTGAACCAGTTCGACCCAGACGGCGACGACCACGACGGCGATGGTGACGGCGGCTGCCACGGCGGTTGCGGCTGCCACGGCGAAGGCGGCGGCAACAGCGACGACGAAAGCCCGGGAGCTGCGCATGAGCTGCTTGGAGGAGTCGTGGAATATTCGTTCAAACGAGGTGCTTGGGCAGCGTGTTGCGATTCATCGGCACGTTGTTGGCGCAGCAGCAGCCATTAGGACGCCTTGCCAGCGCGCGTCCCGGACCGGGTGCCCTTTCATAGTGGGCATGCTCAGTCCGAGGGGTTTGGCACATCTTCGAGACTTGGCGAATACCGATGTCTCTGCAAGGTGGCTGGCAAATCGCAGGAGCCCCCGCAGGCTCCTGGAGGTCTTCGGGTGCCCCGCAGGAGCCCAAAGACGCCCACAGACCACCACTCCCGAGAGGGCGACCTCGTCTCGACGGCGGCAGGCAGCGGCGGGCAGCGGCCTTGGCTATCGGGTACGACGGCGGCGGCCACGGCAGCGGCAAGAGGGCGCCGCCGCGGCGGCGGCGGCGGTAGCAGCGTTTCGGCCCCGCGAGGATGCGGCCCAAGCCGTGGACGTGGCCCTGTCCCGCCTGGCCGCGCGGCAGGCGGGGCCAGCGACGCGTTTCGCCGCTGTCCCCCTCCCTCGCTCCTCCCTCGCTCCCCCTTTGTCCTCCCTCTTCCCTGCCTCTCTCCTTCCTCCTGCTCCTTGCCCTCCTTCCCCGTCCTCCCCCCCCCCCTCCTCCTCCACCTCCTCCTCCTCCTCCTCCTCCTCCTCCTCTTCCTCCTCCTCCTCCTCCTCGTTTTCCTCCTCCTCGTCCTCCTCCCCCTCGCTCAAAGAGAGGATTCCGCCGCCGTTTGGCCCAAGCGCTGGCGCAACCTGTATGACGTACGAGAAGTTAAGCGCTGCAACCATTATCCTATTGCGGCCATGCTCTCTCTCTCTCTCTCTCGTACAACTTCCAACCCCCGCAAGTCTAGTTGCTGGTGGAGGTGGGGGCAATCCCAGTTGGCGATCCACGGAACGTGCGCGTAGTGCGGTGTGGACGCACGTGCGCAGTTAACTCCACCTCCGCACTGGCACCACCGTCCATTATTTAAGCAGCTAGTGCTTACGGCTGTTCTGCCAGCCGACCAGCATTTCCTCCCGGACGTCTGGTCCGGCTGCGAGGGCATCAGCAGAAGGCGCGGCCGCGATGAGGAGCGATTGGCCCACAGGAGCGCCACCACGTTCCTCTGCCGCTTGGCGGGCGCCCCGGCATTCAGCCTGTCATTTTGCCGATGCGTACCGCATATTTGTTGGGGGTCGCCTCCTCCTTCGCTTCTGACTATTCGTTTGGCTTCGGAGTCTTCGTCGTCGTCCTCCTCCTCCTCGTCCTCCTCCTCCTCCTCCTGCTCATCCTCCTCTTCCTCTTCGTCCTCCCCCTCCTCGTCCTCCCCCTCCTCGTCCCCCCCCTCCTTGGCCCAATGCAGCTGCCCCAGGCGTTTTTTGTGCGCCCCTGCTGTGCCTCTGCGTCGCCGAGGGCGGTGTCTTGTCGCGGGAGGCCCCCGCCCTGCCCGCCCTCTGTGCTTCCTGCCTCCCAGTCCAATCCCTGGGACGGTCGTCGAATGCGGTGCGGAAGAGGAAGAGGAGGAGGAGGAGGAGGAGGAGGAGGAGGAGGAGGAGGAATAATAATAATATGAATAAGACGAAGAAAACGAAGAAAACGAAGAAGACGACGAAGAATAATAACCATACGACGAATAAGAAGACGAATCCGAAGAACACTGATACTAATACTAATGCTAACATTCATACTACTACTACTACTACTACTAATACTACTACTACTACTACGACTACTACGACTACTACTACTACTACTACTACTACGACTACGACTACGACTACTACTACGACTACTACTACTACTACTACGACGACGACGACGACGACGACGACGACGACGACGACGACGACGACGACGACGACGACGACGACGACGACGACGACGACGACGACGACGACGACGACTACTACTACTACTACTACTAAGACTAATACTAATAATAATACCAATAATATTATTAATGATAATGCTACTACTAATATTAATACTACGAAGAACACTAATACCAATACTAACAACACTAATAATACTATAAGAATAATAGTACTACTAATACCAATACTAATAATAATACGAATCATAGTACTAACACTAATAGTAATAATTATATGAATCAGAATAATACGTATACCAATACGAGTAATAAGAACAATATTAATAAGACGAATAATCATAATACGATGACGAATCAGACTAATAAGCATATTAATAAGGCTAGCATTAATATTATCAGTACGAATAAGAATAATTACTCGAATGCTAAAAATGATAAAAATCATAAACTAATAATAGTACTAATACTCATAAGAATATTATTATTAATGATACTATTACTAATAAGATTAGTAATAACAATACTATTCATATTAATAATACGAATGATAATACCACTACTACTACTACTACTACTACTAATACTAGTAACACTAATAATAATATTGTTAATAATGATAATAATACTAATAATACTGATGATGCTGCTGATGATGATGATGATGATGATGATAATAATACTAATAATAATACTAAGACTAATTATAATAATAATAAGAATAATAATCAGAATAATAATAATACGAATAATAATAATGATAATAATGAGAATACCAAGAAAAAATAAGAATACTAAGAATACTACTAACAAAAAGAAGAAGAAGAAGAAGAGGAGGAGGAGGAGAAGGAGGAGGAGGAGGACGCGGAGGCGGAAGCGGAGGCGGAGGCGGAGGCGGAGGAGGAGGAGGAGGAGGAGGAGGAGGAGGCGGAGGAGGAGGAGAGGGAGGAGGAGGAGGAGGAGGGAGGGGGAGGAGGAGGAGGAGGAGGAGGAGGAGGAGGAGGAGGAGGAGGAGGAGGAGGAGGAGGAAGGAAGGAGGAGGAGGAGGAGGAGGAGGAGGAATAATAATAATAATACACATAATAATAAGAGGAATAAGAAGAGGAATAATAATAATGAGAGGAGGAAGAAGAAGAAACAGAAGAAGAAGCAGAAGCAGAAGCAGAAGAAGAATAAGCATACGCAGAAGCAGAAGCAGAAGCAGAAGCAGAAGCATAATCATAATATGAATAAAACGAAACATAAGAAGAATAATAACAATAATAATAAGAATACGAGTAATAATACTAATAAGAAGAAATAGAGGAAGAAGACTAAGCAGAATAATAATAAGACGAATACTAAGAAAAATAAAACTAATAATGGTAATGATAATACTAATAATAATACTAATAATAATACTCATAATCATAATATTAATAACCAAAATTACTAATAATAATACTAGTAATAATACTAAGAATAAGAATACTACTACGAATAAGAATAATAATAAGAATGCGAATGATAATAAGAATAATAAGAATAATCATAATAATAATACTACTAATAATAATAATGATAATAATAATAAGAAGAAGAAGAAGAATACTAAGAAGGAGGAGGAGGAGGAGGAGGAGGACGGGAGGAGGAGGAGGAGGAGGCGGAGGCGGAGGAGGAGGAGGAGGACGAGGAGGAGGGGAGGAGGAGGGGACAAGGGGGGAGGAGGAGGAGGAGAGAGGAGGAGGAGGAGGAGGAGGAGGAGGAGGAGGAGGTGAGGAGGAAAAGGAGGAGGGGGAGGAGGAGGAGGAGGAGGAGGAGGAGGAGGAGGAGGAGGAAGAGGAGGAGGAGGAGGAGGACTCAGTGGTGAGTGCTGCTGCCTCTGCTGTCGTGGGTCCTCTGCGTTCTCCCTCCCCGTGCTGGCGTGCTTTCCCTTCCCTGTTTTGCCCCTGCCCCCACGGGGTTCGTGGCCTGGTCGCACGGAGCACGGTGCGCTCCGTCGCCGAGGTTCCGCCCGCCGTGTTTGTGCATTGGCATCGCATCAGTGCTTGCCGGTTTCGGCGCCCGCCACCACTCCCGCACTTCCCCGGCCTCCTTCGCGCGTCGTCGCGTTCCCGCTTGGGCTTAGGGGCAGTGCTTCTGCACGGCCGTGGCTTTGCGCAGTCCTGTTCGCTGCAGGCGTGAGCCTGCCGATCTGCCTCCCGCTTGCCCTTTTTTCCAAGGGTGCCCTCGAGGGCGCGAGGTTCTTCGCGTTTCGCGCTTTGCGGTTCGGCTCCGATTCCTCCTCCTCCTCTTCTCCCCTGGGAGGCGGCGCGAGAGCGCGAAGTTATTCGCACTTCGCGCTTCGCTCAGTGCGAAGCGCGAAGTTGGGAGCCCTTGTTTTCGCGAATCTGGGCCGCCCCCGCGTCTGACGTCTGTCTGTTCCTCTGGCCGCGGGCCTCCCCGGTGTCCACACTGACCCGATCCTGCTGCCGCAGACGCTCCCCGGGCGCGTCTCCTGTGCAGTTGCATCGCCTGGGCGGCGTCACCTTGTAGGTCGCCCCCGCCTTGCCTGCTCCCTTTGTTTGTTGTTGTTTGGTGTTGTTGCTGTTCTTGTTGTTGTTGTTGTTGCTGCTGCTGCTGCTGTTGTTGTTGAACATTATTACTTCTAAAGAATAATTATTGTTGGGGCCCCTGGTGCGCGACCCCCCTCCAAAACCTAGGCCGCAGCTACATTTTCATCATTTTTTCGCGAAAGCTTCAGAAAAGTGGATTATGTCCGGATCCGGTTGTTTTGTTCCCCCCCGCTTTCCCTTGCAAAAAACACTATAAAATGACATTTCTTGTTCTAATATAATCAAATTTCAAGAATCCCTTGCAAAAAATAAGGTAAAGTGGACATTCGCGCGCGCAAGACGAAATCCTTCCAAAAGCTTAGTGTTCGGAAGCGATTTCAACATAAAAACATCAAAAAACTAATGGTTTTTCAACAAAAAAATGTCAAAATCTCATCCCGCGCGCTCTTGCGGATTCGTAGGAAACCCAACACTTTTTAAACATTTCTGTCAAACGGGCTTTTGCGAGCAACTTTTTCGAACTTCTGCGACAACGGTTGCGCACCTGCCAGGGCCATCATCCCTGTCAAATAATACCATGCGGGACACATTCGTTTTTTCTTCGCGCGCGCACGCCGTCGTCGTCGGCCGCGGGGCCCTGAATAGTAGCCACGGTCGTCCGCATGCCACGAAGTGAAGTGTCCGAACGTCATAGGGCGGGAAGCTGGGTGTGGGTGGTGGCGAAGAGTCGTTTGGAAATTTGGTAGAGCTTGAACCGGCCCCCCCACAAAGTGGGGGTATTGCCCGCCTCCTATGAAAACCCTGGCACTGGTGAGAACGGAGTGTCCCCAAAGTGTGTTGTTGTTGTTGTGGTTGTTGAACATTATTAATTCTAAAGAATAATTATTGTTGGGACCCCTGGTGCACGGCCCCCCTGCGCCGCCTAGGCCGCAGCTACATTTTCATCATTTTCGTGAGGAAGCCTCAGGTAATTCGATGTGATCAAGATCCGGTTGTTTTGTTCCCCCCCGCTTTCCCTTGCAAAAAACACTATAAAATGACATTTCTTGTTCTAATATAATCAAATTTCAAGAATCCCTTGCAAAAAATAAGGTAAAGTGGACATTCGCGCGCGCAAGACGAAATCCTTCCAA